AATATTGCTTCAAATTTGTGACCGTTGGGGAAATTATTGAAGATTGTATTGTTAAATGTCACTACTTTTGGTCTTTCCTCTGTTTCGTGTTCCTAAAAAAGTGTGTTGCTTTTTGAAATAGTGTTAACGGTAAACAGATGGTTAGGAAAGAGGATGTGGATTTCTATTGCGGGTTTTCGAGGAAAGAGCTTCAGAGTTTGTGCAAGAAGTATAATTTGCCGGCTAATAGATCGAGTTCTGATATGGCTGAATCATTGGCTTCTTATTTCGAGGTATGTTTTTAGAGTTGGCTCTTCAATGTTTCAGACAACTAAATATGGTCGAGGAGGAAAGAAATCTGAAATCATTACTATGTGTATCTTGATCATGCCTTGTTGCTACATAATTAATATTGTCACATGTCCTGTTGTTTCTCCTCCTTTATTGTGTGCCTAATCATGTGTTGTTGTATGTAACAATTTGCAGAAAAATAGTCTGAACTCGGTAGGCTTTGGTGTCGCTGGAAATCAACTTAGTTCAGCTACGACATCTAGAGCGCCAGCGAGTAAAACATGGGACGTGCAAAGAGGTTTGGCGAATTTATCTCTGTTGCTTTAAGTTTTCTCATTTTGTTAAGCAACATTTATGAAGACTGATTAAATGTTGTTGCAGATAATTTTGGTAATGAATTGGATATAACTAGAGGGGATTGTGTTCAAGGTGCAGTGGCTAGAGAACCAGGCTTATCACAATATCAGGTTCGATTCACTTTGTTTTGGAAATATCTACTTGCATAAGGTCGGTTTACAATTGCTTCGATGAGTTAGCAGTAGTTTTTATCGCCAGACTTGATATAACGTACCATCTTTTGCGTTTATGGAATATGGTACATGAGTCATATCGTTATCATGTAGGATAGTTTCTTAAAGAAATTTATTGATATAGTTGCATCAGTGTTTTTGTCCTTTATACAGTTACTTCCACATTCCTCAATTCTCTGCCACTCTTTTGCTCGCCAACTTCTAAGGTCTCTTTAATAATGTGTCTGTGAAAATGCAGGAACAAAATGGAAATGGTGGTTTGATTGATTCTGCATGTATGAGGAAATTGAATGGAAAGGGCCTAACAGAAAACTCCAACAAAGATGTTTTGTGGAGAACGGATTCTCTGGTAGAAAATAGAATGAGAGAGGTAGATAGTGGTGATAGTCCTAGTTCGTCTTCGTTTGAGTTCCATGTCAGTTTGGAAGAGGGTATTAGCCTTTCAGTTGATCTAGATTTCAATCCATCAGACTGGATTAATAGCATGAGAGATGAGGTCAATGTATGTGACAGTATGCGTCGCAAAAAATCACCACATTCTGATCTTAGCATTAATAATGCTACAGAGTGTAAGAAACAGAAGAGTTCAGAGCAAGACAAAGATGGGCATCTAAGGAGATCTTTAAGTCCGGCAATGAAAGACAATACCCAGTTACCTTCTGATCATCATTCCAACGGTGAACAGTTTCTAACGTCATCTGCTATAGAACCATGCAGCAGAATCAAAGAGGGATCAGACACTTGCAAGGAACAAAATGGGCTTAACTTGTCCATTCCTGATTCTGCAGGACCTGGCCAGATTGTATCATCTTGTGTTGAATCGTATAGCAAAAGCTGCTGTGTAAATCCAGTTGACTTGGACTGTGTTAATCCTCCTGGGAAGAAGTTGACAAGCGACTCTGTTACGGTTGCTGCAGAACCGAATCATCCAGCTACTGACCTCTTTAATGAAATTCCGAAAAATCCATCCATGGAAAGTCTTCAAAAGGTCTCAAGTACTGTTATATGTCCACGGGGAGCTGGTTCTGAATTATCATCATCAGAAGCAGAGGCTTATCACTCAAACCTGCCTTGTAAGACCAGTAGATCCTCAACTATCTCTTCTCCAGAGCTCATCATCGACAGGGAGTCCACTAGTTATTCTGAATCATTCAAGTTCCGGTATAATGGAGGCAAGAACTGTCTGGCACCAAATACTGAGGAGCAGGTAAAACATCTCTTATTTCTCTATTCGCTACAAGCAATAAACACGATAGTTTTGTCATCCGTTGCATTGTTTCTTCTTTCTCAGGAAAAGAGCGAAGTTTTAAGTGAGCGGGCACGGTCAGAGTGACATGTTTGAATTGTGAAGCATCCAATATGTTGTATAATATTTGATTAAGTGATAGGAGAATGGCTGTATACCTGATGTAGACTGTAGAGATAGTCAAGAAATGGCCTTTCCTCGGACAAAGAGGGTTTCTACTGCTGCTTTTTTTGAGGTATGATTTTCTGCTCTCGCTATATCATACGAATGATACAACAAAAAATCATGAGAGTTATATGAAGCATTTATTTTCCGTTGTTGGCTTGCACTTAGGCGATCAAGTACCTGGAGTTTCCTTTGAGAGCATTGTGTCGATTATTACTGAAGGTTTTTGCAATGACCTAAGGAGAAGTCAGTTTTAGGCCAGCATGCAATTCTTTTTGGTTTCGTCTTTTTTTCATTTATATTCAAGGTTGGAAAACACAATTCTATGTTGTTGCTGTACACATCATTCACAGACCAATGTTGGAGATTAGCTTTACAGATTAATTTTGCATACACCATGTTGTTGAAATAGAAGCAAAGTTTCTGATTGTAAGGGAATGAAACATGTTGGGAGTAACATCCATGAAAACATATGAATGTGTTATCATGTATACTTTTTTTAACAAAGTTCCAAAGATGTTACTTTTCAGGTAAATGTTGGTAAGTTAGTTAAGGTAGTTTGCTAGTAGAAAAGATCTCAGGTAAACTAAAGGAAGATACTTTTCAAGGCATTTTTTTGTGTAATATGGCCAGTTTCATTAGCATGTGAGTAGCACATGACTAGCCTTTTCTTATCCTTGGGATCTGAACTAATTAGTTTGTTGAGTGTATAATTTTAGAATCAGTAAAGGTATCAATCAAGTCAACTTCAGAATTCAACTTTCAGAAAGAAGAACATATGAATCAAGTCAAGATTTTTCAATTTTGGTTCTTGTAATGAGCCAGAGATAGAGAAAAAGAGTCTTCTTGTGTGTGTATGTTTGAAATCTTTGAGTCTTAAGAGGACAAAACATTGTCTTTATGAGAAGGAAGAAGACAAAAGGGGATGTTTGTGTCTCGAGTCTCAAGACACTGAAATTGAATAAAAAACTATGTGCATAAAACCTCACAAAACCATTACTTAATCGTATAGTAATATTTCCAAGTTTAGAGATTCATCTAAATGTTTTGGTTTGCTCAAAACCAAGCACCAACGGCAACGGCGCAAGTTATACGTCAAAAAGTTTGTATTTAAAAACAAGAA